CATGTTTTGATATTGTTACAAAAAAAGAACTGAAAATAGATTCAGAAATATTTCGTTAAGGCTTAAATATTAATGATAAACAAAGTCCTTAAACAAATCTAACACCTAATAATAAATTAAATTATTAATACTTACTAATTACATCAAATCATCACATATAAATCTTCTTAACCTAAAAATAACTTACCTACCTATGGAACTTACATCATAAAATAACTTTTATTTATTTATATTATTGTAATTTGCCCATTTCACCTTCCGCCTGCCATTCAATAGTATGCAATAGTATGCCATTGTATGGATGGTATCGAGCTTGACAAAAAACAAAATAAGGTGTTTGAAATAATTCTAATCTCTTGAAAGTTTATGGAAACTGGCAACATCGCTTTCATCTTATACGTTAGTTCAGTGATGATGTAATTATTGTTCCACTGACAATTAAAGTGACAGTAGATTTTTTGAGTGCGTTTTGTTCGTTTTGTTTACCTAAATTATATCATTTTTTTACTTTTATAAATATATTCCTAAAGTAAGTAGATAATATGCATCAAATATACAATCGTTTAGTTACCAATTACATACCTTTAAACTATTTTTTATGACCTGTAACAATATTTAGAAATAAACTAAAAACAGTAAGAACGTATATGTCAAATTTATTGATGTTTTTGTTAAAAGTTTGGTTAGAATGAAATGTCAGTGGAACCAAAATGACATCACACCGAACTAGCGTATTGCGATGGTGGCTCCAAATAGTATGCTGAGGAACTAAACACCTAAACACTTGTTACCAGTGCCGTGCATTTAAACGATTAATCTTTCATATTAATTTATCTATGGTGCGCTCACAGCATATAAAAGAACCAGCAGTATTACTACCCCATTTTTTCACATCTAAGCAGTTCGCCGCGCAAGACGTTGCTCGATTTAGAACCTTTGTGCATGGGCGAGAGGTTAGATTTATTTGTTGTGCTTATTTATTTGTGTTTAGTTGCCAGTGGCGGAGTTATTTGTATAGTTTTAAACCTTTAGTATTTAGCTGAGATAACGAGAAGATGTAACTACTAAAAAAATAATGTGCGGTCCTGAATAAGACATATTCTAAGGGTCTCAGGCGGGTATAATATCCGCTGTTGTCATATGCCTATTTCATTATTCTCGTTTTGTTTACAAAATTTGCCTACTTAGGAGCGTAGATACCTAGAAACGTAGATAATAAAGATAATAATTGAAAAATTTTTTTTAAGTTATTCATATAAAGGTTTTAGCTTTGCTATCCAAATTTGTTTGTGCATACATTAAACATTTTATAAATTTTCATATTTTAAAACTCCTAGATTACTTAATTTCTACATTCCTGAATTTCTAATTTTCTAAATTCTTAAATTTTAAATGTTTTTAAAATATTTTAATTCTAAATTCTTAAATTCCTAAATTCCTAAATTCCTGAATTTCTAAATTCCTAAGTTACTAAATTAAATTACTGAATTCCATGTTTATAAACCTAATCTAATCTAAGGAAAATTAAATAAAATAATTTTTATAGAATACTATTCCACCAAGTTAACCAATGTAAAAATGTTATTCTTAAACTAAATGTAAAAAAGAAAAATGTCAAATTCAATATTTAATTCTTTATTTGCTTGGAACTTCTTGTTTTTGGGCTGTTGAGCATTATATTTCTTCGACTTCTGACTAACTTTCTTCGACAGCTTCTTTTTTTCGGCCAAGTGTGATGAAATTATTGCATTGACTGACGATGACGTAGATTTTTAACTATACTTTTAACTAGACTTTTAACTAGAATTTTAACTAGACTTTTAACTAGACTTTTAACTAGACTTTTAACTAGACTTTTAACTAGACTTTTAACTAGACTTTTAACTAGACTTTTAACTAGACTTTTAACTAGACTTTTAACTAGACTTTTAACTAGACTTTTAACTAGACTTTTAACTAGACTTTTAACTAGACTTTTAACTAGACTTTTAACTAGACTTTTAACTAGACTTTTAACTAGACTTTTAACTAGACTTTTAACTAGACTTTTAACTAGACTTTTAACTAGACTTTTAACTAGACTTTTAACTAGACTTTTAACTAGACTGTTAACCAGACTTTTAACTAGACTTTTAACTAGACTTTTAACTAAACTTTTAACTAGACTAGACCATAACAAAACCAATTTACCTGGATCAGTTAAACATTCAACTAAGGACAGCTTGCGCTTTTCAGAACTTTCAATTTGTCTAAAATTGTTGCATGTACTATAACAATTTAAATATCGCAGGTAATTTTTTAGCTATTTCAGATAATAATTTTCAGATAAACTACTTTGTTGAGGATTTATAATTTTATTAATCGCTAATTAAAAAAAATCTGATGTGTCCAACACATGACTTTCTTATCTAGTTATTATAGGCTTTTTCCGGTTATTTTGAAAAACCTATTGCAGCACCTCTATAAATCTTTAGAGGATAAACTAAATATATACATTTTCCACATACTTCTACCTCGAAACATTTTTCTATAGATATTCATTGAAAACGAAAATACTGAAAAATTTAAATTTAGCACTTTTCCTACAATTTTTCCATTACGGTCATTTTAGAAAATAATTTTCATTAAAACCAGAATTTTGCACATTTTGTAAAATTTCTCGAATACGGACCATTTCAGGAAATTTTGACATAAAACAAAAATTATAGATAATAATATTAGAAGTAACTTTTATCTGAACAATTTTCTTCTCCAAACATAAATAACAGATATATTCCATAATATATAAAAATGGCCTCCCATAAAGTACCCCCCCAGATGTTCCGACTTTGTCCAAAATCTAATAATTTCACGTCAGGCCGAAATAAAACTTAAGTTTAAAATTTAATGTTTTTTTCTTTATCCATTTTTGAGTTTTCTTCAAAATTCGAAATTTACACATTTTTTCAAATATCTCGAATACGGTTGATTTTAGAGAAATTATGTATAGGATAAAAATTATAAAAAATTATATTACAAACAACTTTTATTTAAACAATTTTTATAAAAAAAAAAAAATTTTTACATTTTGTAAAATTTCTCGAATACGGACCATTTTAGAAAAATTTTGTATGGAACAAAAATTATAAATAATAATATTAGGAGTAACTTTTATTTAAAGAATTTTCTTCTCCAAATGTAAATAACAGATATATTCCATAAAATATAAAACTGACCATCCATAAAGTACCCCCCCCCCCCCAGATGTTCCGACTCTGCCCAAAATCTAATCGGTTCATTGGACGCTGGAACAAAGCTTAAGTTTAAAATTTGGTGTTATGCGACACACACACACACACACACACACACACACACACACACACACACACACACACACACACACACACACACACACACACACACACACACACACACACACACACACACACACACACACACACACACACACACACACACACACACACACACACACACACACACACACACACACACACACACACACACACACACACACACACACACACACACACACACACACACACACACACACACACACACACACACACACACACACACACACACACACACACACACACACACACACACACACACACACACACACACACACACACACACACACACACACACACACACACACACACACACACACACACACACACACACACACACACACACACACACACACACACACACACACACACACACACACACACACACACACACACACACACACACACACACACACACACACACACACACACACACACACACACACACACACACACACACACACACACACACACACACACACACACACACACACACACACACACACACACACACACACACACACACACACACACACACACACACACACACACACACACACACACACACACACACACACACACACACACACACACACACACACACACACACACACACACACACACACACACACACACACACACACACACACACACACACACACACACACACACACACACACACACACACACACACACACACACACACACACACACACACACACACACACACACACACACACACACACACACACACACACACACACACACACACACACACACACACACACACACACACACACACACACACACACACACACACACACACACACACACACACACACACACACACACACACACACACACACACACACACACACACACACACACACACACACACACACACACACACACACACACACACACACACACACACACACACACACACACACACACACACACACACACACACACACACACACACACACACACATCATCGCGAAAATAGTCAAAACGGATTCAGGGGACCTCAAAACGTAACAATCCGTCGAAAACTCGAGGTCGAAAAAAATCATGATTCCTATACTTTCCTTATATCTGTATACAGATAGGAAAGAAATGAGTACATTTTAAAATTGTGGTTAACAACAACATAGTCGTTAAAAAAATTAAGAATGATACCAATATAGAAAAAAATATATCTGTGGTTTTAAAGTTGACAGGCATAGTTTATATTCTGATTTTACTATGTTGGAGTGTATAAAATAAGCTTCATAAATAATGCATTAAAAAATTTGGAAATCAATAGTTTTTTAAATTAAAAGGAATTATTCAAGGAAGATAAAAGTCTATCGAACCTTTCGTTGTAAGTTATCGTGCATAGACGAAAAAACGAATTATTTTGGCATTTTTAGACTTGGAGTTATTGCAAACGTGGAGAGAAAAGTGTTAAAAAGTGGGAATGAGATTTTTTTTCGACACAAATGCATACAGAAGCTTCAGTAGATTTCGAAAAATTAATGTACATAAATCTTTGCACTAAAATCCCCTTACTTGTCGGGCATGGTTTACTCCACATTCTGCATAAAAAGTTTTCCAGCACCTAAATACATAAATAAATTTGTGTGTCAGATTTATATAAATAAAACAAATTTTTGAATTTATCGAAGAACTTTTATTCAGTAGCTTATAATTTTCTGGATGGCGGAAAGGCACCTCCACTTGTCAGGCAAATAGAAAGGCTCGAAAACGTGAGGGAACGGCGTGTCGAAGCCCGTGACACGCTGTATGGGCGCCTCAAGATGCAAGAAACACTCCTCCTGCAAAAGACAAGTTTCATTAACATAAAAAGTCTTAATTTTATGAAAATACTCAGCTACGGACTCAGGGTGAATGTTGATTCCATCTCGTTAATGGATAAAAAAATATCTTATATGTAGTAATTTCAGTATTGGAAATACGAACAATTAATTTTTAAATAATTTGACCAGAATTTGTTGTTGGAAATTGCCAAGCTTTTCAAGCAACAACTGATATTAGTGGATATATTTCCTCTGCACCTGCACATAGTTTAATAAATAGAGATTGTTTAAATTATAGGCGGGACTTGTTTGTAGTTTACACTAAATATAAAGTCTGAATAAGGATAATTTCCTGACCGTAGCAGAATTTTATATAAATCAAAATTTCCTAGGTTTATTCGGTCATGTTTTTATTTGCTGTGCTAAACGGCAAAAAATAAAAACATAATAAACCTAGGAAATTTTTATTTATTATAAATATACAGTCGTTGTATACCAATACAATGTTAAAGAAATCAATAATTTTACTACAATCATTTAAATTTCATTTTAATACAATGTGTGGTCAAACTACAGGACTAGGTTGTGTTGTGTTAAAAATAAGTGGGAAGGTCTTATCGCCTTTTAGAAGCTAAAAAGTATATTGAGTTTCAACATTACAAGTTATTGTTTATAAATAGGTGCGTGTGTGCACACATACATATTGATTTATATTTTTTTTTTATTTGTGGAATTGTAAAAAGGTATAAAATAATATTTTACGGGTTATACGTCTTGTCGTTCCTTTGGTACCAATGCTAATTACTTGCCTTAACATTTATTGATGGATTTTTTTTTAGGTTTTAAGCACATGACATATAAGATTTAATTTCTTACTTTCTCTAGATATTTATTTTATTTATCCAATACATGACAGTTATGACTGTCATTATTGATGTCATTTTAGACAAGTAAACTATCAAATAACACACTAGTGTGTTATAATCCATAACTCACTAGTAAATTATGGACTATATAACTCAATAATGAGTTATGGATTATAACGTTCATATTTAAAGTAGTAGTCTATTTATTTATTACTATTACAAGCAGAATACACATTGATATTGAAATTAAAGGAAAACGCTAACGGTTTATTCGAATTTGAAGTCATTGTAAAATTCGTAAATTGGCAACCAAACAAACACCATACTTTGACCAAAATGTAAAAAATCACTGTTAAATCATTCTGACATTTATAGGGTACTGAGACGCAAGTAGCTTTGATTTGATCACAAAACTTATTATTATCTCATAAAAAAACGATATATTTTCCACTTGTTTGTTGGATAAAACATTGTATGCCACTCGTGTATTATGTTTCCTAAGTCACTTGAGAATTTATAAATCTTTCTCGCGTGACTTATTTTCAACATAACACACTAATACTATAAATAACTATTAGTTATGAATTCATCATAAGTTGTAACATAAATCTTTTCAGTGAAGTTCTTGAACAATAACTTTGTTTGGTTAAGTGTTACACATTGTTTTTTTTAACATTAATTTTAGGAATTTGTTTGATGGCAAACGTATATAAAGGAACATAAGTTTGAGGTTTGTTTTTTATTTTTCCTTATTTACTGGATTTTTGGAAAAATACGAGCATAAATTTGCCATTATAGAAACTCAGTTGGTCCCCTTCAATTAGTCTACTATTTCCGGAATTTTTTAGGTAATCCACCCCCTAGCTACCGTCTGAGCGACGTCTAAGGCCCAAAGGTTGACACTGGAACAATCGAAACTTATGTAACAGTAGTAGATAAAAATTTTATTGGTAAATTATTTCTTCTTTCTATTTAACGTTTTGATTCAGATCTCACTTCCTTTGACATTTACATCAAGGAAGTTGCTCTGATGACAATGACACACCTTCGCATGGTTGAAATAGAACCTCATGTAGACGTCGCTTCTGGTAGGAGGCGCTCGATACGCTCCCACTGCTTCGAGCGAACATGAACTCCATCTCACCGAGATTTATCATACATGAGCCATATTAAGTTATAACAGAACAAATAGAAGAGCCGGAAATGGCAGGTACGATTCATATCTACACTGACGGTTCTAAAACAAAACAATGCTCTGGATGTGGAATATACTCCACATCCTTAAATCTAAACATAAAATGGGCTGCGAACAGTACTGCCAGTGTAGTTCAAACCGAGTTCAAGGGGATTGTCATAGCTGCAAAAGAAATAATATCACTGGAAGAAACATGCTCATCTATACAGATAGCATACAAGCACTACTTACCCTGGACAGACCACGAATTTACTCAGGATTAGTACTAGAATATCACGAAGCTTTGGCCAAAGTATCCAGTAACAATATGATCAACTTAAGATGGATCATAGCTCACGCCACATCGAAAGGTAACCGTCTTGCTGATTCACTAATCAAGAAGGCAGCCAACCAAATATTTTTTGGACCTGGCCCGGCCCTTCTATTGGACTGACAAGACCGATAGTGACAAACCTAATTAAAGAACATTCTCTTGTAAAATTCAAAAAATGATTGGATGGAACAAGAAGCTGCAGACTTGCTAGGGAACTTTTAAGTTATCCTGACAACACTACAACAAACAAATTCTTGACTATGACTAGATAGAATCTGCGCTTGATCACAAGCATCCTGACTGGTCATTGCCAGGTACAGAAGCATCTCCATATTATAAAGCTGTCAGAATCCGTACTCTGCAGGGGGTGCGAATAAAAAGCTAAGAACATCAGCATATTATCTACGATTGCCCGACGCTCTCATTTATTAGAAGATTTGTATTCGGCGAGAATTGGCTAACACCGGCCGATAGAAGACAAGCACCTCTTGGCGACGTTGTCAACTACATTATATATAAATATATAAATATAATTTCGTTGGTAATGAAGACCTGAAAAAATGTTTCAAATAAAATGTGTGTATAAAGTTTTTATCTTTAATGTATTCTATGTTCTAAACAATTTAATATTAGATAGGCCGTGTTCACATATTTGATAAGTATTATTTTTATTTCTTTTTATTTTTTATGAATTTTTTTACAAAGAAATTGGATTGAATTTTATAATTTATTTTGTTTTTCACAACTAAAATTCAGTTGATATATAAACTGTTATGTTAATATACTGTGACCTAAAAGGTCTATTGTGCCTCTTCTGTCGCTAATCAGCAAAGATAAGTGTGCTTTTAAATAAATCATCTTAAATTTGAATTAAGTAAAACTATGTGAATTAGAATTTGCTGTTGCCTTATCTAAAACTTGTTTTAAATATAATTTGTTAGTGGTTAGTGATTTTCTATATTTTTGTCACCAATCTAAAGTCAAGTATAGTAAGTTTTAAATATAGTGGTGCCCAACTTCTTTTTCAAAGTAATTCGAGTTATTTAATAACCTGACCACGCCCAAAATCAATAGAGCTTAAACACACTATAACAAATAGATAAAATATAAAGTATTATGTTACAAGTGCCCTTGGATTCTGTAATGCTACACATTTAGTCAGAATGTGAATGGAGGTTTCGTCCTCTTCCTCACGTAATCTGCACTGACTATCTTCTACTAATCTCAGTTTACTAAGGTGTCCTTTGGGTCAGCAATCCCAGTAAGGATTCCTGTCACAATGCGTAGCCTGTTCTTGCTCAGGCAGATACAGGCTTCCGATCTTTTCTCAATATATTCACCAAGTATCTTAGCCTCTCTTAACCCCGAGAGACTGTTCTAATTGTCGGTTCTTCTACTGCCCAATTATTATTTAATCTCTATTAATATTGTGTTACTGCTGATGCCACAGAACGGCTCAGAAGATTATTTCATCTCAATTTTTCTCACAATCTTAAAATTTATATAATTTTGGATATATTTTTTGAAAATTTTTTACAGATTATCCTTACTTTGTGTTATAAAAACAGCTTTGTTAAACTAATATTCTTAAGGAGATCTTTTCAAATTGATAAAAAAAAATTATTATCTATAGATAGATAGGTCCAACTTAGAAGAAGAATTTGATAGAGATGGGTTTTAAAAGTAATAAAAAATATCTAGAGGTGAAATTATGTATGAAATAAACTCAACTTAGAACAAAAGATCAGAAAAACTGGATCAGATTAGATGTATTTCTGTCGACTTTCATAGCTTACAAATTTTTGGTCCTAATACTTTCAGACAAACTTAAAGACGCACATGAAGAGAAATCAATGAAATATTAATGCTCCATACAGTCAGATGAACTGGTGTTTCCTATAATCATAAAATTGTCGTTCCATCTTATTTCCTAACTCAATAATTTTGATTATTCTAATACCCTTGAAGTTAAGGGGTTTCCCTATTGTGAAATGTACGTTCGGTGTGCAAAATTTAGGACATTGACTCTTAAAACTAAATACCTTACAACAAAAATGAATGCATCTAGGTCAGTCAGAGGAAATACTTTGATTAAGACACCCTATACTTATTCAAATTACACTGAATAATTCATCTGCGCTATTTATAACTTTATTGTTATTAAATAATTGTTACAAAAATAGAATTATACGTCTCAATGTCTCTCTAAACAATATCTTATTTATTGGGTCTGATGTTTTTTTTCTAGAGCCTGATCTGTAATGCAAAACAGACATTTGATAATAATGCCTGGATTGCTGGACAAGGACGTAACTATATAATCGTGGAATATTTTAAATGTTTACATATTATTAACATTTTTGTATTTTTTTGTTACCATAGAATGCATTTTTTAACAGTGTAATAATAATAATGGAACGTTATTATTGCGGTTGTCACTTGTTTTATAAGGTCGTTTTTTGATACAGTGATTTAGAATGAAAAAGATCCAAAAAAGTAAAAGAAAACACATTGTTGGTTAGAGTTTACATTGATTAATGACCTTGAACGTAAAACCTAAGTTGAGGTTTATTTATCTTTGTTTTGAAGGTTTTAAAAGGTTAGTTAATAAAGAAAATATTCCGCTGGAAGGTAATTCTAAATA